AAAGATTTTCCCTCTACTCCTGATTACTAAAAAAACTCCGATCAGAATTAATTATCTGATATTTTTTTACTTTTGTTGCTTCCTTTTTTTATTATCAATCGGTTTTTAGCCTGAAAAAATGGGGTTATGAGCAAACAGAATTTCCGGTTCCATTCTTTTTCAAAATTATTACTATCAGAACACGAAGTGGTTTGCTTTTTTACGCGTTTTTTTGTTTTTTTATTGGTTATTTATTAGCCAGTCTGATTTGTGATTATTGAAAAAATTATATTCCTGAATTATGTCGGTCTTACTTACGAAAATTGCTAATTAATCGCAGCAGCAAAAAACCACTAAAAGCCCGCCTCCATCAGCAAGAAATATTGAGTAATTTTTGGATAGAAACCGAATTATTTGTGCCTCTTTTTATTCTTATACCCCAGAGAATATATTCGGCAATTGTCAATATTATTTTAATTCTAATTTTTGTTGCCAGTTTCAAAGGCAGTGATTTTGCCATTTCTTTCGTTCTAATCGTGTCGCTAATTCTGGCCTTTTTGAGTTTTTTTGTTTATCAAATTCAAAAGAAAATCAACCAACAGCAAAATAATTTTCGCCAGCAAGAAAACCAAGCCGCAAAAAAATATTTAGAAAATCCTTCCCAGCCCCAACAAGTTGAAAAATTAATTAATCATAACTTTCAAAAAAGTCGCTCTTCTTTGAAAAAAAAAACTCTTTCTTATTTGCCTAATTTAATTATTCCGGGGCTCAGCATCCTTTTTTGTTTTATTTTTGTAGCCAGCCAGGGAAACGATTGAGAAATAACCAAATTTGTAGAAGTTGGTCTAATTGCTGGTTCTATTCAAACGATATTTTGAAAAGTCAAAGACATAACTGATAACTCACTAGAAATTAGCAAAATAAAAACCCACTATCAATCTTTACAAAAAATATTAAGCAAATTATCGAAAAGCACAAAAATTAAAAAAAATAATCGCAAAAATTGTCCAAAGGCTTCTCAAAAATAATTGTCATTTAATAAATTTGAAAGGTTTTTTTGAATCAAAAACAAATAAAAAAAATTGAGGTTCTGGTCATTCAAAATGTATAAAATAACAATATAGAGTAATATTACTATAACTCTATATAAAAATAATTATATATCAATAAATAAAAAACATTATGACACATACCCACATCAACAAGAACGGCATCCCAATCTACGCCGAACAAAAAATTATCCAAACTGATTTAAAGGCCTCAGATATTTTAAAAACTAAAACTCCTATACCAGATAATTTTCTCAAATTAACCAACAAAGAACGCAATTATATGTGTTCCACCCAAGGTTGAAAAGAACCTAATTGTGAAAGATTTGGTTTTACTTACGAGAACGAATGAATAACTTTAGATATCCCCCACACTTTAATGAAAGAATTGGATTTATCTCTTGGCGAGGATATTCCCCATTCAGTCTATATTTCCCCCCAAATATTAGAAAGAAAACCCATTTGTGGTGGCATAACTATTGAAAATAAGGAAGAAATAATCATCGCTAAATCTCTTAACAAGGACCAAGAAACACAAACTGATTTAACCAATCAACAAATATTAAACCAAGTTAATCAATTACAACAAGAGGACAAATTAAATCAGCAAACTATTATTGGTTTACAAGAGGAGGTGGCAGAATTAGAAGCAAAATTATTAGAGATTGAGAGATTGAAAAATATTTGACGCAACAAGTTTTTAGAAGCCCAAGGCAACCAGAACCAAGAATTACAAGACCAAATAACTACTTTGGTTGGAGAAAGGGATAATATTCAGCAAGAATTAAATAATCGACAAACAGAAATAAGGCGTTTAAATAACGCTTTACAAACTGCCCAACAAGAAAAAGAAAGAATTGAGCGAGATTTAAACACTCAAATTGGACAGTTAACAACTCAACGAGATAATTTACAAACTCGAATTAAAAATTTAGAGCGAGAAAAAGTTGAATGAGAAAGAGAAAAGACTAGTTTGCAGCAAGAATTAAACCGAAAAGTTGATGAAATAACTAGACTTAAAGAAGAAAAGGAAAGATTGAGAACCGAACGAGATGCTCGTCCAAATATCACACCGGAGCATTTAAACCGATTAAACAGAGAGGTAGGTAATTTAAAACAAGAACTCAATGACCTGATTACTAGCACGCAAAATCTCTTGGGAATAGATGACTTGAATAATTTGCCAGTCTTACCAGAGGGGGAAACATTAATTACTTTAATAGCCCGACCAACCCAAGCACAATTACAGGACAAGCAAAATGAAGTAGGTCGAAAAAATGATGAGATAACTGAACTTAACAGGACAATAAAAAAGTTAGAGGATGAAAAGAAAGTATTAAAAGATGAGTTAGATATAGAAAAAGG